CCCCCCATACACACACACAACCTCCTGCGGCCCTGCCCCCTCCAACTTCCCTGACTAGTGCTGTCATGGAAATAGTCCCTTAATAATGGGTGTGCCTGATCTGACCTGGAGCTGCCTGCCTGCTAATTGCCTTCCCTATGCTAGTAGATATGTTATCACTTTTTTTTGTCTGTTCTTAGTTTGCATTAGTAGTTGAAATAGTGCTTATTTTCTCCTTGTTGCCTAATTAGGAGTTGCAAAAAAATTAATGTTTTAGAAGTGAATAGTCAGAATTTGATTTTGCTCCAACAGGTTCGTTTTCTTTCTGATCTTGTGAATTGTCATGTAATAGCTGCACCTTCAATGGTAGCCATGTTTGAGAACTTTGTGAGTGTGACTCAAGAGGAAGATGTACCCCAGGTAAGCAAAAAGACGTTTCACTTTGCGGGTGACTGACTTTCACATGTGGATTTTTTTCTCGGCCAGATTGTACTGACCAATAATATGCCTGTGCTAAATTGAGAGAGTACTTTTGGCTGTTTCCAGGCTGTTCCTGCATATGGCTAGAAGAGTCTTGTAACAGTCAGAAGTTATCTTACATATATATAATCTTCAGTTAGACAGCTCAGAGATTTTCTTTAAATTCCATTTTTTGGCATGTACGTATTCCTTAATGAGTCTTTGCCAGATTTGAGCTTTAAAATGACACAATACAGATCTAACAGAAAAGCAAGACTCTAAAAAGTGGTACTTAGCTCTCTGGTTTTTTTTTCTTGGTAATTCTCATACTAAATACGACCCAACCTCTCAAGCCAAAAGCTTTTTTGAACCGTCAGCTCAGCAAACACACCATTGGGTCAGAGTTTGTGGTTGGGTTCTTCCACTTTTGTATGTTCATCAGTAAAAATATTCAGAACAGGTTAAGGTCTCGGTGGCACCTGTGCAACTCTACTGTGCTAAACATTTACCAGGTGCAACTGAAAGCTTGCAGATAATTGTGTTAATACCCTAGGTTGTAATTCAGTCCAGCCTTTTGGCTGCATTAAGCTTCACAGGACTAAAATGCAAACATGCTTTGTGAAAAATTGGCAGATGTGACTTTGCATACTTTCAAGAAGAAGATGTCTTTAGACATCATTTTTAACCAGTATTTCTTCAAAGCAGGGATGTCAAACTTGTTTGGCCCATGAAGTTTGTCTCAGGTTGGTTCCAGACTGTGAGACAGTGATGGGTTGAATGGCCTCAGGAAGCCTCAGGGATTAAGACAGCTATTGCTTGCCTACCACTGCTAAAACGTGTCCCCAGTGGCACTCTGAACCCTGGAATTTGGTGACTGTCCCTACCTCCTACTTTCCTTGCTGCTCCCTACCCTCTACTTTCCCTCGTGCCCTGCCAGGAGCCCCGCAGGTTAGATTACACAGCTTTGTAGGCCACATTTTTGTTATCTGTACTTTAAAGTACAGGCTATCTTTTGAAAACACTGTCAGCATTCATTTGGATCAAAATTTGATGATTTAGGTACTCTTGATAAAAGAAAGCCAAGACCAATGAAAATGTTAGGAACTATGTTTTATTTTTGTCTTAAACACAGTCTTCACAATTTCTTCCTGTAGTGGTTGAAGCAAAATAATCAAACAGCAGTCATTTTTATTCTGTTGTTTCTAATCTAAAATTTTAGGAAGAGGTAAGATAAAGGCATAGATAATCAAGGAAATGCATGTAACAAAATCAAAGTTAAGTGATGCTTCCTGTGTACAATGTTTTTAAACAACTGATGCGTGGCCAGCCATGTTCCTTGTAAAATATATACTATTAGAAGCATATCAAAAGAGAAAGATTAAGGGCATATCTAAAGATCCACCCACTAGAACAGGCGAACGCACTTTCAAATGTACAGATTCTTGATATATCTGGGAGTGGAGCTATACTTAGAGATATGAGAACAAAGTGATTAATATTTTTTCTAATCCCAGGTGATTTCTACATTACACAGTGGAAGCTTCCTGAGTTTCATTGTTTAAGGTATAAAAATTGTACATTGAGGTGCTTTTGATCTTTGTTTCTTGTAGGTGCGGAGTGATTGGTATGTATATGCATTTCTGTCATCTCTGCCCTGGGTAGGGAAAGAATTGTATGAGAAGAAGGATGCAGAGATGGACCGTCTCTTATCACAAACAGAAAGCTATTTGAAGTAAGTTATAACAAAGAGTAATCCCCTCTTTCACTGTTACCAGGTCATGGGTGGAATAAATAGCTTTGTCTGCTATCCATTCAAAAGTATTCTAAGCCTGTGGACAAGTGTAACAATACACAGTTCTAAAAAAAGGAGGGACGAGTTTGCCACTTGGAAGTATGCATCAACTGCATCAATACATGTTTCATCTTTCTGTTGCTCTGTTGCTATAAGTTGAGCTATACCACTGTAACATTAAACCTGTTTCATTGAGGTTTAAAGTTACAGCAGTTTAGGTCCATGTATACCAATTAAGGTGGAGACTGACTAAATAAAAGTTGCATCCATTCAGTGCAACCCACAGGTAAATTGGTCTAATCAGAACAATAGTTTCATCTCTCCACCTTAAAATCATAAGACCTAATCATTTCCAATCTGTTCACCATGTCAATTGATTTGTGGATCCTTAAAGTTAATTCTCATGCAGGTAGTGTCATTTAGTATTTCTGGTTGTCTAAAAGTGGCTTGGGATGTTTGACTGTTACAAACAAGCTATGGTCTGCTCAGTTTGCTTGACTATTTTTGCCTGCAGCTCATTAGATACATTGCTTGCCTTTGCTGCAGTGTTGGCTTATGGTAGAACTCGCATGTTGCCACAGCCACAGCCCCATACAAATCTCTTACCTCTGGTAGAATGTTATGCTGCCAGAGACTCTGATCTGGTTGATCAAGCTGGAGCTGGCAAAGCTCTGTGCTGCTACTACTGTTTGATAGTATCTTTCACAGTGTGTCTGCTCTCACCTGAGCATGGGTAACACTGCAGTGAAGACAGGATTGTAGTGGTGATTTTAAAAAACCTGACGGGTTAGTAAATATTTAGGCTGCTACAGAGCAAATTGAATAGAGAAATCAGTGGTGGGAAGAATCTTGTTTTTTTTAGAAGAGTTTTTAAATGGTAGATTTTCTGTATAAACAGACGGCGTCAGAAAATTCATGTACCCATGTTGCAAGTTTGGACTGCTGATAAACCGCATCCACAAGAAGAGGTAAATGGATTTTTATTTGATGTATAACAAAAGTAGGGAAATCCCCACCTTTTGTTTTGCAATCTAATATTAAAGAGAAGATCTATGGAAAAAAGTTAACATAGTTGAAGTACATTCTTCTCTTTCTCTGTGCTTTTATCTCCTGTAGGCTCTAGGTAATGATTTTCTCTGAAGTTCTTGGGTTCAAACCCCTGCAAAGCTAGATTGCTTTAATGAGAGACATTTTGATGTTTCCTGACATACTGCCTGAGAAAATGCTGCTAATTGAGCAGTAGTTGCAAAATGTAACTTTGCGAGTAAAGATCTAAGTCTGTCTACTTCAGACATTATGTGGTCACGCCTGATATGACTCCTCATTTAGTCACCACTTTGAATATATTCCATTATGTTAAAAATAAGCCAACCCCTGCAGGAAAAAAAACCTGGGGTGCACACAGGTAGATGTGCACCCCTTAAGTGTGGCAGTGCATCCCCTACGAAAAGGGGGCTGGTGGTGACTGCGGGCAGTCCACAATCGCCGCTGGTTGCTGCCAGGGGCGTGTGTGGGTGGTTGTTGACCCCCCGTCAGCACGTGCTGCACCCCCAATCTCCCGCCGACAGTGCCAGAAGCATCTGCGGGAGCTCCACGCTTACTGCTGCTGGGCTCCTGCCACCGCCAGCACAGCCGTGCCTCCCCAGCTGCTGGGGGTACACGCCATTCATGGAACCTGCTATGTTCCATTTGCAGTGGCTTTGTCTTTTGCAATGCACAAGTTCTTAATCTGGTCTGAAAAAAGGATTCTACTGATCTCATTCTTCAAAGCTGAGTATTGAGCATTCCCAGTGTCTTTTATGCTAGTAATTTGGTTTATTGTATTTGGACATCAGGTTTTAGCTGAGTGACCATGATGGTTGGAGCAGGAAATCATACAAGCAATCATAAAATCATAGAAAAGTAGAACTGTAAGGTCCTTTAGGAAGTCAACTAGTCCAGACCCCTGTGCGAGGCAGGATCATTGCTATCTAAAGGACCCATACAAGTGCTTGTCTAACCTACTCCTAAAATTACACAATCAACCCTTGTGCGCAACTAAAAGCCATATTGCCCCAGAAATACCAAGGGCATCCTAACCTACCACAGGTAGAGCAGGGGGATGAAAGCAGCTAGTGTCATGGCTCCACAAGAGTTCTAAAATGCACTTTAGATCCAAGGAAGAGAGTCATGGTCCCTGCTACAGAGGAAGACAAAGGTCCCATACCAATCTGACCACGTAAAAATATCTTTCTGATCCCATATGTGGTGATTGGTGTGATCTTGAGTTAGAGGAACAAGACCCTCTAACTGGGAACCTCTGGATTTTAATCCCGGAACAAACATTGGTATGTCCTAGTCAGGAATCCCAGTGCAACCAATACCCAGTGCTTCTGAGGAGAGCAAAAACAAATGAACAAAAACCCTGTTCCTGTTGCTCATTGCAACAGCTGGGGGGGGAATTCCTTCTCAGGCCCATGTGGCATTCTGCAAAGCCCAAAAGCATGGGAGAAACAAAACAACCTTTGCTTCATTCTCCTGAGCCATAATCCTTTCCAGTATTCACCTGTTCTGAGCTTCAGGGCAATTTGTGTGATCTTCTAGCAATCTGTTGGGGGAGCAGGCAGTACATTCATCTTTAAAAATCTGCATGCTTTTCTTTTTAAAGCTCATAATTTACATTAATTTTCAGCATGGATTGGTTATTGTCCTTTAGCAAAAACAGAAATAAAATGCAGAAAGGCCTACCATGCAGTTGTGTATTCATGATAATAATAGTCAAGGAAAACTTGTAGCAACTCCTGCATTACTCAGAGTAAGACAGAGGTCTTTCTTGCTTGCAGTAATAGAAAACTTTAAAATATACAGCAGTTGGTAAGTGGGCATTTCTCTTGTTAATTTGGCATACGAATTCATCTCATAATGTTTAATACAATTATTAGCCACAATACTGAGCAGACATAACTTCTTGCACTTGAGCATGCATTCTAGACTAGTGTTCACTAAAGGAGTGCCTGTCTGCAGTGACTTGGATCCCTTTTGGTCAACAGAAAGTAAATCAGTGTATGATCATCTACTTAATTCCAAGTTACTAGAAATGGAGCTTAAATCTTGTACTGATCTAAGACATGTAATTATAAAGGTGAAATAGTTTTTCAGTATGTTGAACCTGTGTGCAGCTTTTTCCCCATAGAATTACTGAGCTCTCTAGATATTAGTGTTTCTCTTATAAAGGGGTGACATGGCTTAACTATGTGTCTTTCCTTGTCGAGTCACCTGCTTTGCTTTTCTGAATGTGTGATGGAATAAGAGAATCCCTGTTTGATACTTGAAGATTTCTGGGAGAGTTACCAAAGAATCTAAGGATTAATTAAGCTACAGGATTTGGGTTTATCAGCTCCTGTTTTTTTTTTCTCTTCCTCTTAAGTACTTAGACTGTCTTTGGGCTCAAATTCAGAAGTTGAAAAAAGATCGCTGGCAGGAAAGACACATTCTGAGGCCCTACCTTGCCTTCGACAGCATCCTCTGTGAAGCGTTACAGCACAACCTGCCTCCTTTTACTCCTCCACCTCACACTGAAGACTCAGTTTACCCAGTGCCAAGAGTTATTTTTAGAATGTTTGACTATACAGATGATCCTGAGGTGAGTGAATTTCAGAAGGTCCTTGAGAGAGCGCAAATAATTTTATAATGCTGGTTTTGCTCCTTTGATACTGAATCTGAGTGTACAAGGGTCTCAAGGCCAGTAGAAATATAAGCCAGCACTAGATGAGAAATTGCATTTCCCCCTTTCAGGAAATGTTTAGCAATGAGAAGAGCAGTAGTAATACAGTGCATTTTAACGCCACATATGAGAACATTATTATAACATTTTTGAGAGATCACTTTCAGCTTTTCTTTAAAAAAAAAAAAAAAAAAAAAAAAAAAAAAAAAAAAAAAAAAAAAAAAAAAAAAAAAAAAAAAAAAAAAAAAAAAAAAAAAAAAGCAATTGCTGGAGTTGATCTTTTGAGGTGTGGGGAGGCACATGCTAAAACATAAGGGATGACATCACTTAATTATCTTGCACCTTTGGCTACCTTACCCAGAACTATAAATACTGTACTGGCTATGACAAGCATCTTTTCCAGCTGGTGTACTTAATTGTGGACTACTGATGCTTTGAGTCCAGTTTCATTAGACTGATAGGAGTGGTGTAGGTCAGATTAATTCCTTGCAGTACGTGAAAAGGATGCTATAACAGAAGACATATTATGGTATAACCTCATAAATCTGGCATTTTAAAATCCAAAATTCTCAAAAATCCAGCACTGTGGCAGGTGGCGTCACCTACTACTGGGGCTGCAGCAGGGAACAAAGCAAAGGGAACTGTCAGTGGGTGCAGCGTGGGACGGAGCATGGCTCTTGCTGCTACCGCGCATCCTGGAAGGGCTGCGGGCTGGGAGGCTGTGCCAGGCTCTTCCCGGGAGCCGCATGCCCCTGGATCTGCACGTGGGACAAGAGCAGGCTGCTGCTGCAGGCTGGGGCCAGCAGCAGCACCAGTCTCTTCCCAGCACTTGGGGCAGGTGGCAGCCTGCTCTCATCTCGTGCACAGATCCAGGGGCACATGGCCCCCAGGAAAAGCCTAGCACAGCCCGCCAGCCCACAGCCCTCCCAAGGTGCATGTAGCAGCAAGAGCTGTGTTGCACCCACTGACAATTCCCTCTGCTTTGCTCCCTGCTGCAGCTTCGGGGGCGGCCTGACACCACCTGCCTGCAGCTGATGGGCTGTGCCATGCCCCTCCCCCCACCCCAGCTTCACTCCCTCCCTCACCACTGGTATCAAAAATCCAGAATTTTCAAATTTCTGGCAGGTGTTTGGTCCCAAGCATACCTGTTTTATTTGGTTATACTGTGGTATGACTCTTGTATTTGACTGTGAAATAACATCTGATGACATTGTTGCCTATGAAAGCTCATGCCTCCCTAAACCAGTTAGGGCAAGGTAACTCCTTAGATACCACCTCTTGCATTTGCATTAATGCTTCTGACTTGTGGCTATTTTATGTAATTTTCAAAAGTAATTGGGATTAAATGTTGGAGCAGTAGGGGAAAATTCTACATGAAAATAGTACAGAAGCATCAGATAGTTTCTTTGAAACTTCCAGGAGTTACTGACTTTAATAGAATAATATTTTCATTTAAAAAGTAGGCAGCTGGTATGACCAGCATCTTAAATTATAGATGCATTTAATAGCTCTTGTAAGCTCCTATGTCATTTAGAAAAGCTGGAATGAAAAATAAAGATGAGTCATATTTATGGGTTGTGTTTTGTGATGGGAGGGTTAGGGTTTTTTGGAATCCTTTATAGGGATGACACTGTATCTGAAAGCTTTATTCTGTATGCAGGTTTAAAAACCATTTATGGACTGCGTACTTCTGCTTGGAACTTGGAAAGTTTTTACAACAAATAACCAGAATGTTTAAACCCTTTTGAACAATCTCTAATGGAACCATTGATATGGCTAGAAATACAATGCATTTAGGTTCCATTATTTTATTTTTATATGGCTTGAAAAAATTTAATTGAACAAAATACTATTGGTCATGGGAGCCTAGTGTTCATTCTTCTGAATGGAAATAGTGACTTTTCATATGTCTTAATTGATTTTTAATAGGGCCCTGTTATGCCTGGCAGTCATTCTGTTGAAAGATTCGTAATAGAAGAGAATCTTCACTGCATAGTCAAATCCCACTGGAAAGAGAGGAAGACTTGGTAAGTAGTGTATCAGTGTTATGATACCACAAGACTCCTTATGAGGTCTGGCTTCCTGCTTTTGCCATCATGACTTCCACTGGTAGTGGTGATATTTCGTAATTCTGAAATTGGTTGTACAAAAGCTTGAGGTGACATTTGACATATTCTTAACATATTTAGTAAGGTATGTTGTTTCCAAATAAGAGGTGGTAGGTTCAATGGATGGTAGAAAATGGGCCAAATTCTGTGTTAATGGCAGAGGTACATGATACAATGACTTGTGTGTTTTTCTGATTCTGCAGAAGGAGAAATCTGTATTTTTGTGTTGAAATTGATGGCAGGACTTCTGTCTTCATCTTCAACTTTCTTGGGGAGTTTGTGGCAGTATAAATGATACGAATGGCTTAAGCCTACAATTGAACAAATGTCAGTAATTTTGCTTTGAGGCAAGTGCTGGGTTCTGGAATGTCAACTAGCGATAGTATGAAGGTGGTTAGAAGACTGCCTATATCTTTCCCATCAGCTTTCTTATTTTCAAATATCCATGATTAACTAAGAGGAATGTGGAGAAGTGGCTCAACAGCCACCTGCTGATTGGATAAAGGTACCTTCATCATGGTTCCTGATTCAAATCTAGCCAAGGCTTCTGATGATAAACTACATCCAGGTTTCTATTGGAATGCGTAAGTTTAGTTTGTTTTCAGCCCACATGTCAGCATCATATAAACCACCACAAATGCTCCCATAAAGTTACATCTCTTAGCAGTGTTAGAGTTCAATGGCTTGGAGGTGAAATGTTTTTTCAGGGGTCAGATGACTATGAATGTGCCTGTATTGCTGCTTTTTTTGTACCTGTTCTGTGGCTAAATAGGTGTCTTCAGGGCTGTCAGTCTGGCACCTTTCCTTTAGATGGATTAATACAAGGAACAAACTGTTCTGTTTTCTTGATACCTAAACTGTTTCTTCTGATGTATTGTATTCTAACTCAAATGCATCTGTTTTCTTTGTAGTGCTGCACAGTTACTGAGCTATCCAGGAAATAACAAGATCCCTTTGAATTACCACATAGTTGAGGTATGTGTATTACACATGCCATCTTTTAGTTTCCTTTGTTTTGAGTAAGGTGATTAACTTTAGCAAAAAGCCTTTCTCCTAGCACAAAGAGAGCATACAGCCATTAAAGAGGTTTCTTATAGAAGAGAATTGGCTCTTCTGCAAGAACGTTAGATCTTCCTGGTTGGAAGTGATCTCTCTTCTCCAGCACTAATGTTTCATCTAGATGGCAAGTACTACTAGTATCACACAGAACCCCTCTCTCCCTGTGTCTTTCCCTCTGTGGGGCAAGCTGTTGGGGAGCCCTTTTGGTACCAATGCCCCTGCCACTGAACAAACCCAGGTCAGCTAGCCCAGGTCTGGTCAGGGGAGGAGTTGAGAGGGTGAGGCACTTCTGCAGCTGGAACCATCATTCTGGGAAGGTTCCAGCCTGAGGGCACCTGCCTTCCTCCCTCTGCACAGACCAGGGTCCAGACTGTGCTTAAACAGGGGGGTATTTCCCAACAATGAGGGTCCGTCCCAGCAGCAGGATAGCTCTTGCTGCCCTGCCTTCTGGCCCTACATGGATGGGGGAACTGGTGGGGAGTATAGGGACTGGGGAGGGAATGCCACTGTTTCCCTACAGCTGGACCAGTCACCCTGAAGGATGTGTTCGGCTGTGTTGCCTCTACCTCCTGCCCTGTGCAACCCTCAGGGTTGACTTGGAGGGATGCACAGAGTAGAAGTCATTCTGCTAACTTGTTTGCAAGGCCTTTGTGGAAAAAGCAAATAGGAACAAAGAAATTTAGAATGAAATACAGGAAGGACACAATCTATGTGCAAGTGGTGGACTAAATCAAGACACAAAATTAGGAGTGCAAGGTGTTGGCAAAGCCAGACAAGCTGTTTGGGATTTTAGGAAGCTCATCAGTGCGGGATTTCACAAAGTAGGATGGGCCTCTGGGAGATGTTAGATTTATCACGCAGTTAACTCTGTTAACAATAAATTGTAACTGGTGCATGTGCAAGGAATTTATCACCCTGTAAAATAGCAAAACAGCCACAAAGATTTTACTTGTTAAATGTGGAGCATCTTTGTGGCTGGATTGTATCATGTATCATGTTTTAATTTAAATGTGGTATATATGCTAGTTTACAAGGGTGTGTGAGAATCCCAGCTGCATGTGCACCCTTTGAAGGTGCCAGTCCTTGGGGAGCATAAGATCAGGGAACAGCTCCCCATGTGCCTGAAGTGTTCCCCAACAACAGACTTACCAGCTGGACTCGTCTGCTCTCCATGCTGCCAGGCTGCACTCCTGACCGCCTGTGTCTTACCCTGTGGCTGTGCGCATGCACAGGGCGTTTATCGGCCGCATCAGGCAAAAAAAGCCAATTGCCAATGCTTTCAATTTTCCTTATATCAGTGCTGATCTGCTGTAGGACCAATATATCAGTGCACCTTTACATTTTACTCTTAAGCTGCCATGCATGGTCTCAGGATCAAAAATAGCTTTGGAAGGATTGAGTTAGACTTTTGAAGTTGAAACTTGATGTTTCTTAAATCACCACCTCCTGGAGGAAGTGTATAAATGCCCCTAAAAAGCCCTGCTGAAGCACCCAAGCTATACAGGTGCTGCAGAGCCAAGTTAAACTAACGTGCTGCTACTTCCAGTAAAGGGTGGGGGGTTGTTTGTTTGCTTGTTTCTCCCATGTGTGTCAGCAGCCCTAGTGTCCTCATGTGCATAGACATGAAGAAAAATGTGCATGTCTCTGTATTGAATAAGCTTTAATAATTGCTTTTCCCCACTCGCTTTGACCAGGTAATATTTTCAGAGTTGTTTCAGCTTCCAACTCCACCACACATTGAAGTTATGTACACAACGCTTCTTATTGAACTATGCAAACTTCAGCCTGGCTCCTTACCACAAGTTGTATCCTTTCCTTGTTGTTTGTTTTTTACAGAAGAGAAAAAAACCCCCAAAACATTCCATCCTGCAGAAATCTAAATGGCATAGATACAGCAATGATCATTTCTTCCACCCTGTTGCCAGTTGTGTAAAATAAATGTATTGCCTGTTAATACTGCATGTGCCAAAGAATAATGCAGCCAAATAGCCATTTTAGTTTGAGTAGCCTTGCCCTAGCATCAACATCATGGAGGAAAGCCAGTGCTATGGAAAGTTTAAAAATAATTCCCAAGTGCCAGAAAAGAGAGAACTGTACTCTGTTTATGGAACAGAAGCATAAGGCATGAAACAGACTAGCAGCAAACTCAGCATGTTTATTTCCTCTGGTCAAGCATAGCAATATGTCAGCTGCTATGTATGCAGTTTGGCTTTAATACCCAAGGCCAGCATCAGAATACTAAACATGCTTCATGTGCAGCTGAACCACTAGACATTTGATTTGAAAATGTTTGAAATGGGACAGTCTTTTTTTAAAAAACTGTTGATCAGTTTCTGATCCTATAAATATATACATAGATATATACATATAAATAATTAATTACATAGTTGTACAAATAATGTGAATTATAAGACTTCTCTCTACATTCTTAAATAGAAATATTTCCCTGCAAGAGATAAGGTGATAACAAGTTCTTAAACTGCAGGACACTGCATTTAAAAAAGGTTGTTGCAGCATAGGAGTTTGTTATATCAAGATTTTGATCCTACTGATGTGCAGTTTTCTTATCAGGTTAGAAGTATATAGAATTATAGTATTTTTATGAATCCAAGATGACTTTCAATTTAAGACAAACTGCCCCCACCCCAGTAATTAGATTCTATATATAGAAAATTGTAAGTGTGTTGTTATTTTCCAAGAATGGAATTTAATTAATGGAAGGTCATCTCAAATCCATCCCCTCCACTGCTGTAGCAAGGAAAGCAGTGGGGGGGGGGGGGAGGGACGTGACCCCTGCCTGCTTGCTGCCTGCCCCTCTCCTTCTGCTTGTTCCCAACTATGGCCTACTTCCTCCCAACCCCTATAGCCAACCTTATCCCACCCCTTCCTTCTTATCTTGAGCTGCAGCTCTGCTCCTCTGTGGCAGTCAGCAGCAGCATGGCCCTATCCTGGCCTCAGTCCAGGCAGAAGCAGTAGTAGGTCTTGGATGGGCTAGGTTGGGGCTGGAGGGCCAGGAGCAGAAGGGGGAGGACAGTAAAGGATAGTAGTGGGGGTGCAGGGGTAGGCACAAGTACAGTGGGCAGGAGGGTACGGGGAGGCTACAGGCTAGTCTCACGTGCATGCCCCACTGTCTCCCCTGTGTTCCCCTGACCACATGCCTGCTCCTGTTCTAAGTGAGCCATTCCAGCTCTCATCCAACCTCATCTTGGATTAAAGTAAGCATGGTAGTCAGATCCTTGACCTGTTTTAGATTTTTTTCCCCCTCAAAGTATTGTCATCCAGAATTAATTATGAAGGCTCACCCTTGCTTCTGAAATTTATTGTTATAAAAAAAACAAACAAACTGATATGGATAAGTATTAACAGCTGTGGGCCATAAAGTTATGCAACAATAAAAAAAACTTCTTGGTTCTTGCTTTAGTCATGAAGTATTTCCATTGCTCTCTTAAATCTTCCCTATACCTTTAAAAAAAATAACAGCTGTGTATGGCAGGAGACTTCCACCCTTTTTAAATTCCTGAGCTACTTTCTATGTAATCTGCTCTCCTTCCCCTTCCCCCACCCCACAATCTCCACTACCCCAAGTGATGAAAACAGTATAGCATAAACAAATGATGGGTCTAAAGCAATGGAGGCCAACATTCTTGTAAGCATGCCACAAATTAAGCCCCACACCCTCCTCCACTGCCACTCCAATCCCCTTCCCTCCCCAATCTGCAGCTGTACTTCTTGCTCTCTCCCTCCCTGATCTGCTGCATGCCACCACAGGGGCTGCCTGTGTCATGTGTGGGATGAGTGCCACAGGTTGGACACCCCTGGTTTAATGAATTAAAAGATAACCATTTACAAAGGCAGCTTGTTTATTAAGCAGCATCACGGGTACGTAACCATAAAAGTGCATACCATCCAAAAAGTTGTCCCACTATAATCCAGTGCAGAAGTCCTAGAAATATGGACCTATATAAGGAGCCTGATGGTGCTTTATGAAAGAAAAATAGACTGAATAGAGTATAGAATTTGCTTGTGCCAAACTGCAAAACCCCTTCCGTCAATAGAGTTACTGTGACTTGCTGTCATTTGGGACAAGCAGGTAAACAGAATGGCAGTACAGAATCGGTTCAGACACCAATAGGAATTTGGAGAGGGTGATCTATTTTTAGACTCTTCTCTGTTAACCTTAATTAGAAACTACACAGCTTGCGCAAGCCACAGAAATGCTGTATATGCGTTTGGATACAATGAATACTATATGTGTAGACAGGTAAGTGTTTGTGCATTTCAGGAACATCATAATGGACTCACATTTTTTTCTCCTTTTTACATGCTGTCCACTTTTAATTCACAAATCTAAAATTCCTGCTTTGGCATCTTGTTCCCATTTCTTTTTTTTTTAATTTAACATTTGTACTTTAGATATGAGACTTCAGAACTGAAAGAAGGGAACTAGCATCCCCCCCCACCTCACTTCTTTCTTCCCTATTGCTTTTTGTTCCTAGTTTTACCAGTGATCTGTTGCCTTTCCAGGTCTATTTGCATAATGCCATTAGAAAATGAATGGCAGCTCCTCCCCTTAATTGTGCTATGAAGCATGCTGCCTCCACCCACTGGCTTCTGGCTGTACTGAGTTTTGAGAGTTGGTTTTACTGTGAGTTGGTAAGCCAAAGGAAGGGAGCAGTTTAACGTTCTAAAGATTATGTGAAGCTTGGTAGTTTTATAAGAATTGCAGTTGCTGTGGCGGAAATGTTGATAAAAATCATCAGGTTGCAACAAAAATTGATATCAAGCCTCGGTCTCATATCTGAGAAAACATGAGGCTTTTTCAATTATGGCCCAGGAGGGCCAAAATAGCTCACTAAACTTAATGTTAAGCATCTGTAAAAATATAAATCTAATTTTCTCCTTTTTCAAAAACATGGCAAACACTGAGAACTTAAGTCTGTGACTTAAATAATTTATTAAAGTACCTGGGGCAGGACCAGAATGTGAGATGTTTTTTCTTTTTTTTTCTTTTTTTCCCCCCACAATGAACTACAATTACTGAAGAACTGTATTTATTTGCCAACATTGAAACAATACATTGACCCTATTTTAGCCAGTAAAACAGTGACCAGAGCATGTCAGGCTTACTTCCAGGTGAAGAATGACCTGGAGAGCAGCAGCCTCTCCTCTTGCCCCCCTCCCCCCATTTCCTTAAGTCACCACTTACCATCAGTGATGCCTCTTGCCCCATCCTAGCCTACGGCATACAGTACATGCTTGCTCCAGCCCTGGCTTAGCCATACAACAGCAACTGCAGCAGTAGGTCCAGCCCCAGGATGCTAGAGTTACTGTTGCCACTGCTGTGTGGTCAGGCTGGGGCCAGAATGGAGCTGGAACCACAGCTAATGGTAAGTGGGGGGAGCAGGTGGGGGAGGTGTGTGGGGAGGCAGTCTCAGGGTGCAAGGATCAAGCTGCTGACCCCTTGCTGGTGCTTTTCCCTGCTGTATTAGGGGTGGGGGGATAGGATGGGACAGGACACAAATTTAAGACTGCACTCCAATAATTAGATTTCAGGCATGGAAATTTAAAACAAATGTATAAGTTTTTCCATGTATAGCATGTAATTATTTGGAGGGGGGAGATCATCTTAAAACTGCAGTAGTCTTGGAATCAGGTAAGTGTAATGAAATTGTTCTTTTCTCTCTTTAAGGTTCATTAATTGGTTTTCTCATCATCTGAGTAACTTTCAGTTCCGCTGGAGCTGGGAGGATTGGTGAGTTTCTTTTAGGATTGTCATTTAAGCCAGATGCTGCACACATCTGCAACTTTCAAACCTACCCATAAAATGCTTGTAGTTGTTTCCAGCCAACCATATTTAGCATAAAGCATTTATTGCCATAGCAGTTTAACTTTTGTCAAGCTTTCTAGATCTAAGAAAAGCTATCCTTTGTTGCCTTTATGTAACTTAATAGAACATAACCCACTAAATATGGTTTGACAAAATTATTTTACTTTATTAAAAAAAATCTTAATTTGTAAAGAGGTCCAATTACTGCCAGTATGTTGCCAGCACTGTCAAACTTTGTTGTTTGTAGGTCAGACTGTCTTACCCAAGACCCTGAAAAGTCTAAGGCCAAATTTGTAAAAGAAGTCTTGGAAAAATGCATGAGGTAAGTGAGGCTTTTGAACACACGCCACTTCAAGGGTGTATCACATTTATTTTCAGGTTTGTTTAACAATATACTTTATGCTGGGATATGTACACAACCTCCCTTTCATAGTTTTTTGATGCTGCAGCTTCAATCACATTGTCAGAAATGTCAATCTATTCCAGTGATTCTCAACATTTTTAGGCCCCTCGCACTCCTCCGTAACATCTTCAAATTAAATGGCACCCCATTTCAATAACTAGTTTGCTTATTGTAGCACTTAACTCTGGGCACAAGGGCAGGAAGAAAGGAGTGAGAGATTAGCTCTTTATAGAGCAGTGCGGCAGAGATGATTGTGAGCTTACCTTCTTGTATTGGAGCTGGCCACTGAGAGGCCTGTACTTAGCCTCACACAAGGGGAATGTGGAGGAGTAAGCACTTAGCTCCTCTCCAGGGGCTGGCAGAGATGATGTGTCCACTTACACATAGATGCTCCTTTTACTTTGGGGTACATATATGTTGTCACTTTAGCACTCCAAGGGAGCATCTCTCTCAAGCATGCTCTCTACTTCTCCCATTTCATGCCCCAAACCTGGAAATAAAGTATTGAGGTATGCTTTGTCTTGGCTTCCAGCTCAAACTTACTAGCAAAAGAGGTTTTGAGAGCAGCAGTGGCAGGGGCTGCCTCTGCAACAACTTCATAGCATCATATAAAATTAGGGTTGGTAGGGACCTCAGGAGGGACCTTTGTCTAGCTAGGTCTTAAAAACCTTCAAGGAAAGAGATTCCACCACCTCTCTGGGTAGCCTGTTCCAATGCTTTACTACCCTCCTACTGAGAGAGTTTTTCCTAATATCCAACCTAAACTTCCCTTGCTGCCACTTGAGATTAGTGGTCCTTGTTCTATCATCTGCCACCACTGAAAACAGTCTACCTCCAGCCTCTTTAGAACCACCCCCCAGGTAGTTGAAAGCTGCTATTATATCCTCTCTGTCTCCTCTTCTCCAAACTAAATAATCCCAGTTCCCTCAGCCTCTCTTCTGAAGTCGTGAGTCGCAGCCTCCTAACCATTTTCTTTGCCCTCTGGTGGACTCTCCAATTTATCCACTTACTTTCTGTAGTGGGGGGCCCAAAACTGGACACAGTACTCCAGATGTGGCCTCACTAGCGCGGGATAGAAGGGGATAATTACTTTCCTCGATCTGCTGGCAACACTCCTACTAAATCCACCCAGTAAGCTGTTAGCCGCATTTACAAGGGCACGCTGTTGGCTCATATTCACCTTAATTTCCATTGTAACCCCTAAGTCCTTTTTTCTGCAGAGCTGCTGCTTATGCAGTTGGTCCCCAGCCTGTACCGGGGCATGGAATTCTTCCATCCTAAGTTCAGGACTTGGCATTTGTCCTTATTGAATCTCATGAGATTTCTTTTGGTCCCATCCTCCAGTTTTTTGAGGCCTAATTGAATCCTAGCCCTACTGTCCAGCATATCTACTACTCCCCCCAGCTTGGTGTCATCTGCAAACTTGCTGAGAGTGTGCTCCATCCAATCTTCCAGGTCACTGATGAGGATATTGGACAAAACTGGCCCCAGGACTGACCTCTGGGGCACTCTACTTGAGACCGGTTGCCAACTAGAAACCGAGTCATTGACTACTGCTGAGCCTAGCGATTCAGCCAGTTTTCTGTCCATCTCCCAGTCCCTTCATACAACTCATACTTCCTTACCTTGGTTGCAAGAATGTTGTGGCAGATGGTATAAAAACCCTTGCTAAAGTCGAAGTATATTGCATCCACTTCTCTCCCTGCATCGACAAAGCCAATCATCTTATCATAGAAGGTAGTCAGGTTGCTCAGGCATGACTTGCCCCTGGTGAATCCATGCTGTCCTAATCACCTTCTTCTCCTCCAAGTGTTTAGAAATGAATTCCTTGAGGACCTGCTCCATGATTTTTCCAGCAACTTGAGGTGAGACTGACTGGTGTGTAGTTCCCTGGATCCTCCTCCTTCCCTTTCTTAAAGATGGGCACTGTATTTGCCCTTTTGCAATCATCCAGGACTTCTCCCGACCACCACAAGTTTTTAGAAATAATGGCCAGAAGCTCTGCAGTTGCATCAGATGCATCGTGTCTGGCTGTATGGACTTGTACACGGCCAGCTTTTTCAAATGGTCCCTAACCTGTTCTTTCGCCAGTTGACTGCACTCCTCCTCCCCAAACTGTGCTGCCAGGTGTAGTGGTCTGAGAGCTGATCTTTCCTCTGAAGACTGAGGTGAAAAAGGCATCAAGTACTTCAGCCTCTTCCACATAATCTGTCACTTAGTTTGCTTCCCCTATTCAGTTAGGCACCCACACTTTCCTCTTGTAGCTGACACGTAGAAATCGTTCTTGTTACCCTTCATGTCCCTTGCTAGCTGCAACTCCATTTGTGCTTTGGCCTTTCTGATTTCATCCCTGCATGCCTGAGCAATACTCTTATACTCCTCCCTAGTTATTTGTCCAAGCTTTCATTTCTTGTATGCTTCCTTTCTGTGGTTTAACTTAGTGCTAGAGCTCCCTGCTAAGCTGAACTGGTCTCCTGCCATACTTCTAATTTTCCTGCAGATTGGGATGGTTCTTTCCTGTGCCTTCAGTAAGGATTCTTTAATATACAGCCAGCTCTCCTGAACTCCTTTCCCCCTCAGACTGGCTTCCCAGGAGATCCTGCCCATCAGTTCCCTGAGTTTCACCACCTTTCTTCTGACTTTGGTGCATGCAAGTAAGAGCAGGTGGATAGATGTACTTGAAAGTGGTGGCTTAAGGATTCCCAGGGTCTGGTGTGGACACACCTTTGTACTTGAGTGACAAATTTGATGTGGAGAGGGGTGAGTAATAGGCTTTACATGATGTTGCTGCAAAATATGGGTCACTCAAAGACTGGCAGATACCAAAATGATCTCATGATTAGGATCTTAAGAATTCTGTCCCCAGTCCCAAAAACTGTGTGTAGCTTGATATGTGCATAGCAGAATGAATGGCTTTTGGGCGGGGATCAAGGATAGAATTCCTCAGATCCCAGTTGCGCAACTGCCAGCACAAGAAGCCTGGCATGGGGGGAAATAAGCCATGATGGGCTCCCTATACTCTGGCAGTGCTGGTGCAACCAAGCATTTAGGAACCAGCTTCCCCAATGCTAGGCTGCACCAGCACCCCCTTCAGAAGGGGGCAGGAGCAGCCCTGGCTCTCAGGCAGGGAAACTGGGCATGCAGTTGGGGCCTGGGGAGCTCCCCATTCCTTACCTGCATGCACTTTGATGTGAAAGCTTTCACACTGGAGCATGTTCAGCTCGACATTGAGGAGCTCCCAGGTCCCCAGCTGCATATGCTGTAGATCAACATTGGGCAATACAGCATGACTTTAAACGTCTCTTGTGTGAGGGAAGCCCATTGGCTCTTAGTGTGGGGACATTTAAAGTTGCACTGTAAATCCCAGTACATGCTACATTCAAGTTTGTGATACTTGACATAAAAGGAAGTTGCCATATGCTCTTTTATGCTTAAGAGTGGGTTAGTAATTGGAGAGGGGAGAAGGATAGGAGACGGTAAAGGCATGTCTACCCTGCCTTGAAGCACTACCCCAGAGGACACCTCATCCACTCAGCTACATTATTACATGGAGGTGGTGGCTACTGTTTGCAAGGAGCAGGTGCACTTCATGGTCAGAGGCAACGTGGACCTTCTTGGCGAGTAAAATTTTCAAGGGCCTTAAGTGATGTAGGAAGCTTAAATTAAATACTTCTTTTGTGAGACAAGTGGTATTGAAGGAAGATAAGCCTGGTCTGACAAGAGAGATGCTTTTAGTCCGTGAATCCCTTTCATGTCATTTCAAATGCTGGTGGGTTAATCCTTGCATATTTTTGTAAAGAGCAAAGGAGGCCAAATGTTAAAATGAGGGCACCTGGTTAGTTGGCTTCCTGAGTTTGACACCTGTGGTCTGCATAACAACTTGCACGTTTGAATAAAATGTGGCACTGTTTGCTGTGTGTCCTTTTTTTCATGAGCAAACTTAGTTAATTAGGTGAGGATGAGAATACGTTTTTGTCCTATTAAAATTAAAACTGTCCACAGAAAGTCTTATTCCAAGCCTGGTTCCTGCAGATCTTAATATCTGGCAGGAGCTAACCACAGTAAAACAGTTCATTGCATAGACTTCTTGGCTTATATTCTGCCAAGATTAAAACCCCAAAAACCCTACATTGAGCAGTATCCTGAAGCATACCTGAAGGATATCCCCATTTGAATTCTACCACAACTGAAATTTATTTTTGCAGACTTTCCTACCATCAGCGAATAATAGACATTGTTCCTGCAAGTTTTTCTGTCTTGAGTCCTGCAAATCCAGTGTGTATATACAAGTATGGAGATGAAAGTAACAGTAAGTATGAAAGCTAAAATTCATGCTGTGGCAGCACTTTTAAGAATTAATTAAGAGATGGAGCAGTGGAGAAATTTAGTTATTCATATGTAGGTAAAACGATTTCCCCTGAACTCCACGTCTCTTCTATTTGAGAAGTAGGAATAGAAGACAAAACAACAGATCAAGTGCAGTAGAAAAAAGGAATACTCCTGTCTTGTGTACCTACTTTGAGGCCTTCAGGTTTCAGGTTGAGCTATTTAGTGAGGGCTGGTGCCATCCAGTTTAGGGCTGCCACTGAAAATTGTGAATGCAATCTAAGTAGTTAGTATTAATTGTTAAGCTTGGTCATTGCTTCAGAGCATAAACATCAGTGAGATGGCCAAGTAAGATCTAGATGTAGTGTGTTGGCCTGTAGATTTGCTGCACAAGCCATATTACCAGGCAGCACAAATGTCTGTTTTTAATAGAAAACAGTAATTGATAACTTCATAATGTTCAAGAAAGCGTATGCATGTGAGAAATACTTGGGCTGATATAAAATATTCATTGTGTTTGATTTTGAAAGGATAATCTGAGTATTTTTCTTTGTTATCGTTAGGGTCTCTTCCAGGATATACTGTTGCACTCTGTTTGACTATTGCTATTAAAAATAAAGCCAGTAATGATGAAATCTTCAGCATCTTAAAAGATGTGCCCAATCCTAACCAGGATGATGATGATGGTAAGGATACCTGATAGTAGATACTGTAAGATTGTGATTTGTTCTGTAACTCAAACTACTTGTGACATTGTATAGATCTGTGGGTTTTGCTGGTACATGACTTTGTATGCTTTCTCCTTTAGCAGCAATTACTTAGCCTTACAGAAGAAAGAAGTACATAGCTCAGGCACATTAGCAGGCATCCCTCAATTCAAATGGAATAAGCATTCTCATAAGGCCTTGCTTGGCCTTGCCTAAAACTTTTCCAGCCCTTGTACCAGTGTAGCCAGAGCCAGGGTTTAACTTACTGGGCCTCTCTGTCCTTGGGGATATTTTTAAAGGAAAGTGTATGAAGGAGAGTGAGGCTTGAGGAGCAGTCATTTTTAAACTTGATAGTTTGGGAGGGACAAGTTTGATTTGCTCTGTAATTGTCCTATTTATACAAGCACACAGGTGTGGAAGTGCCCCAGTTTAGGAAAACATGGCTTACAATAATCTGCAATAAGGACTTGTAGTAGAGGTGATATCTTTTATTAAACCAACTAGATTTTTGCAAAAATCTAGTTGGTCTAATAAAAATATATTACTTCTACTACGAGTCCTGATTGCTTTTTCCTCTAGACCAATATGGCTACAACCTGGATACCTGACACATGGAAGAATCTGCAAGGCATTTCACTTTGATTGGTCATACCCTGAAAAACAAGCAATTTAGTATTCATAGATCTGAAAGACAACAGTGAGTTTTGCAAGGGTTGCTAAATTTTCAGATGGGAATGGAGTCTTCCCTGTTGGTATAAAACAGGAGTTAAATATAGTCTCCCATGGTAGCTCCTGATTCATGGTGGGAGCCTCTAGCACTGTGCTTCTCAAAGTATTTACTTGATTCCCTGCCCACAGTTGCTAAAAAGAAATAGGTGAACAAAATGATGAAAAAATCCCAGTTCTCCTCAAAACTTTGTGAAGATTAAATGCCATTAACTTAATATGTACTAGAAGTTCTTGTTGTTCCAACTTTCAGATGAAGGGTTCACCTTCAACCCTCTCAAAATAGAAGTTTTTGTACAAACTCTACTCCATCTAGCTGCCAAGTCCTTCAGCCACTCCTTCAGTGCCCTCGCAAAGTAAGTAGATGTGTGTGTTTGTGTGTGTGTATGTGGCTTCTGGGTTTGTGGAACATTTTGATTGAACCAGTGACATGCTTGGTGGAATAATGCTTCCATATAGCATTACATTTATACAGTAAATTGAGGAGACCTGGTAGGTGTTTACTGACAGGGTGGTAATATGAGTGGTATAGATCAGTTTTATTGTAGTCTACTTGTGCAAAGACTACTTGGAACAAGAGTTCTACACATTCTGAGATATGCCCCTTGATTTGTTACTCACTTATAGTTGACAGCTGGTATTAAGTGGAGTGTCCCATAGATTGGTCTTGGGGCCAGTTTTGTTCAATATCTTCATTAACAAGCTAGAACATGGGCAGCTGGTGCCTTTTGAGTCGGGGTGGGGGCATTTGCCCCCTGACACCAGTCAGCCGCTGGGGTGGTGGGGGTGTACCCCAGTGACCAATCTCACTCACCAAAAAGCAGCCACTGCCGGAAGTGGCGCAGCCACTTTTGCTGGCAGCCCCGCTCCCTGGCCGGCGCTCGCAGTGGGGGGCACCGGCGCTTCTGCCTGCCCCCCCGTCCATTGCCTAAACAGGGAGCGCAGCCTGACAGGGGGTGCACCAGTGCTCTCAGGGGATGCACATGCACCCCCTGCGCATCACCACTGAGCTGCAAGATGGGATGGATTGTACCCTCAGCAAGTTTGTGGATGACACCAGGCTGTGGGGAGTAGTAGATATGCTGGAAGGTAGGGCTCGGATTCAGAGTGACCTAGACTAACTGGAAGATGAGTTTCAACAAGGACAGGTGCAAAATCCTGCATGTAGGACAGAAGAATCTCATACACCACTACATGCTTGGGACCAACTGGCTAAGTAGCAGCTCTGCAGAAAAGGACCTGGGGGTTACAGTGGACAGAAAGCTGGATATGAATCAACAGTGTGCCCTTGTTGACAAGAAGGCTAACAGCCTACTGGGTTGTGTTACTAGGAGTTTTGCCAGCAGATCAAGGGAAGTTACTATCCCCCTCTATTCAGCACTGGTGAGGCCACATCTGGAGTACTGTGTCCATTTTTGGGCCCCCCACTACAGAAAGCTTGTAGACTAGTTGGAGAGCGTCCAGCAGAAGGCAACGAAAATGGTTAGGGGGCTGGGGCACATACTTCTGAGGAGAGCCTGAGGGAACTGGGTTTATTTAGTCTGCAGAAGATAAGACTGAGGAGGGGATTTAATAGCAGCCTTTAGCTACCTAAAGGGTGATTCCAAAGACGATGGAGTCTAGGCTGCTCAGTCGTGGCTGATGACAAAACAAAGAGCAATGGTCTCAAGTTGCAGCAAGGGAAGTTTAGGTTAGATATTAGGAAAACTCTTGCAATGAGGGTGGTGAAGCACTGGTGCATGTTACCTAGAGAGATGGTGGACTCTCCATCTGGAGATTTTTAAGGCCCAGCTCAACAAAGCCATGGCTGGAGTGATCTTGCTTTGAGCAGGGGGTTGAACTAGATGACCTCCTGAGGTCCCTTCCAACCCTAGTTTTCTCTGACTGATTCTAATTGCAGTAGTCAGGTGTGGCTTGTTTCTCACTGAAAGCTCTTTTCTTACTCAAGAGCGACCCAGACCAGACAAAGTGACAAAGATAAGTTTTTGAAAAACACCATTCAGAGGCGGTCATGTTTGCTCCTTATATAAAACAGTAGCCAAATAATTTGTCCCCAAAAGCCTTTTTGTTTGGAAGGGGCAGATAGAAGGGGGCAAAGCACTGTCAGTTACTCCCTGGTGGAGACAGAAGACTTATCTGCATAACATTCTCCCCAGAAACAAAAAGGAGATTTGAAAGGTATAAAATCTCGTTCCTTAAAACAGGTTGGGAAATCCCTAGGGAAAAGGACAGTTTTTATGGCCCCAGCTTCTGAGCTAGTAAAAAAAAGACTAGATGCCCCTGAACTTGGGGAATCCATCTAGGATTCAGCTGGGGCAAGCTGAGGGAATTTGAGTGGGCAGGACACTAGCCAAGAGATACATCTGCATGGAAATTGCTGGTTACAAGGTATTGCTCTGAGGCTATTTCTAGATAGAGAATCAGGGTGAGATCTTGTATTTTTGACCTTTTATTTTCCTCTTATCTGTATCGCAAACTATAGTTGTTTCGCTTACACCTTTTATCTTTTCTTGTAATAAAACCTTTTTTCCTTTTGCCTGATTGGTGGTGGCAAGCATGATAAAGCATTTGATGTTTCAGACATTCCTCTTCCTTGGAACATGGGGTAGGAATCTGGATCTGCTTTTTTTTGCAGACCCAGGGTGATAACCACAAAGAGTGGCAGAGCTTCCACTGTTGAAGCTGTGAATTTCTGCTTTGTGATTGAGGGAGACTGAGATTGGCTAGGGTTGAGTTACCCCAGGAGCAAGATCTTATCTATCCCCTAAGAGAGACAGTAGAACATAGGAGAGAAACTTGAGTTCCTAGGTCATATCTTAGTAGTGCAGGGTTTATCACAATCTGGAAAGTTAAAATCCCCCATTAATACCATCTCTTGCTTTTTAGATGATCTCATCATGTCCTTGGAGTGCCTTGTCCACTTCTTCCCAACTTGGTGGACTATAACAGACTCACGCCATAGTATCACCACTATTCATTCCCTCTAAGCTGATTTGTTGTCTTATTCCCCATGGAACTAGGAACCATATTTTTGGCATATGATATAATACCTCCTTTTTCCCCCAAACCTATTATTCTAAAACAGAGTATACCTCTCAATGTTATTTCAATCATGGCAGTTGTCCCAAGTTTTTGTAATACCAGTTAAGTCATAGGTTCATATTTGCAGACTATGACTTCCAGCTTACCCTGCTTCCTCCCTGTACTCTTTGTATTTGTAAGTATGCATCTAAATACTTAGGCATTTTGACCTACTGATTTTTCCTTTGACATCTTTTTGCTGTTCTGGGGCTCTCTAGCTCTTCCCCAGAATTAAACTGCTTCTCCCAATTTAATTAGCATGAAAATTAGCTAAAGGAATTCTCCATCCAACCTTCATTATGGCTTTGTACCATGTCCCACAGAAAAACTCAGAGAAGTGAAGCTTATCCTCCAGTATTATGTCTTAATCTCATTAGAGACTCCAGTGCAAAATGACTGTGCTCTACCAGACTCATGTTAGATTGTATTCTTTTGCAGTTAAAATGATGTTTTAAATATTTTGAATAATTCTTATTTTTTAAAAGTTCTAGTTGGATCATAAGCTTAAGGCAAAGATGGTCTCCCATGCTCACCTCAGTTAAACATCCTGGTGCTCTGCCAGTTTATATATATTAATGTAATGGGTACACACCAAGTTATATTAATATAGTCTGAATTTGAAAAGCCTGAATATAACACACGATGAAAAATCCAATCAGAGTTTTGGGAAGCACCCAATAAGTAACTTGATTAATTCAACATTTCTTGGTTTTAATTTCATTTTGGATTGCTAATATTTTTTATATTTAGTCTGGCAAAAACCACAGAGTTCTTCGTATGTGATGATATTTAAGAGAAATGAGCCCAGCACCGTATCTTACAGCTTCATCTCTTTCTCAGAAGTGGCCTGAGAATATTTACACAAAGCCAGTAGTAGAGAGATGTTCACAATGCCCCAGATAAGTGATCAGAGGCACTTGCCACAGCTCATCTTAAAATGTGCTTATTTCCCTTAGTTTTAGATTTACCTGCTCCCCAGTGCCCAGTAGCACCTGCTTCTGCTTCAGTGTTCCAGCAGTGCACTGTGCTGGTGATACCACAGCTACCTGGGAGCCATTACAAAATGGGTAGGTCAGTGGTACATTTCTTTACTATATGGCATGGTTTTGCCAGTCTCTTATAGTGCAAAAATTATGACCCATCTTTAAAACCATGCCATAGAGTGTGGAAAAACCCTCTTGTGACCCGCTGTTGGCTGGCTCCCTGTGTGGGATCACAAGCACAGCATACATTGGGACATCTCAGAGCAGGAGCAGCTAACAAGTAGGTAAACTTTAAACAGACGTGTGCTTAATATCTAATGTCTCCCCTTCCCTTCCCTCCCCTCTTCCCTAAGTGTATCTATCCCCTTATGAAGAAACATTTCAACCTTTATGTTTTCATAGTTTCATAGTTTCAAGGGTTGGAAGGGACCTGAGCAGATCATCTAGTCCGACCCCCTGCCATGGCAGGAAGAGCACTGGGGTCAAACGACCCCAGTAAGGTGGTCATCCAACCTCCTCTTAAAAACCCCCAGGGTGGGAGCCTGCACCACCTCACTTGGAAGCTGGTTCCAGACCCTAGCCGCCCTGACCGTGAAGTAGCGCCTCCTGATGTCCAACTTAAACCTTCCCTCCGCCAGCTTGTGACCATTGTTCCTGGTCACTCCTTGCGGCGCTCGGGGGAACAGGGACTCCCCCAGCGCCTGCTGATCCCCCCTAACCAGTTTATAACAGGGCACAAGATCCCCCCTCAGCCTTCTCTTTTGAAGGCTGAACAGGTTCAGGTCTGCAAGCATTGAAAACATTCTTGAAATCTTCGTTTGCTCAAAATTTATCATGATTTCTTAACACATTCTTTAGCTATATTCACGTAAGGTATGCTGTGATCTGTGTCCAGCTGTTTCTGAATCAGTTTTTTTCTCTCTTGAACTGTCATCGGAACATGAAAGTTGCTTATATAAAGTTGTACTGCTCTTTAAATGTAGAAAGGTGCATTGAGCTACATAAAATGTGCATTTGTCTCTTGGTTGAAGAATTGCATTACTATAACAAATGGCGAGCCCCTGACTTGCAGTTGATCATAGACTTTATTGTCAGTGCCCTGTTACCTTCACTGGCATACCTGGTCACTACTGATTGCATATTAGGGCCTAAAAGTAATTTATATCTGCATAACTAACGTCTTCTGTGAACACTTCGCAATTGCCTTAACTCAGTTGAATTCCCACCTCTTCATTGCTTTAGAGTAGATTGGATCATACCCTGAGCATTGCTATCTATTGACCAAAAGCAGATATTTACTGAACCAGTTAAACTGCTGTCTGTGCACCTGCTGATTGCTTTTATCTGTTGTAACAAGGTTTCATGAAGTCTTCAAAACGCTTGCTGAAAGTGATGAGGGGAAGCTCCATGTCCTAAGGGTTATGTACGAGGTGTGGAAGAACCATCCACAGGTAAGAAAGCTGGCTTCAAATAGGTGATGGAGTTTTCATTCACCAAGTGAACACTGAGAAGCACCAGAACTCGACTGCGTTTGTTCTCCCTCAAAAAGAATGAGCGCTTGTTTGCTCCAAATGTATTTGAGAGAGAATTTGTAATTCCCTTATTGGTGTTTCTAACCTCATAATAGATGCAAATTTTATCCATTTCTAATTAAGCTAGCAGTTCCTTATTGGAATTTGTTTCAACCTCGGAATAAAGAAATGGCCAGTCTGGCTTCGACTTTCAGTTTCTAAATGCATTACTTGAACTGCAAATACCATAATGTCTCTTTGCTAAAATGTCTCTTTGTTTGCAGTGAAGGTTGCTTGTAACAGAATCATTTTTCCCAGGATCTGAGATTTTTATAAAAACTTGTCTTATATTTCAAAGTGAAAAATGGAAATCTAGGCTACTTAAATCTTGCTCAGATCACAGACATTAATGTAAATTAAAAAAAAGAGAGGGATTATGGAATATTTGATCAGTGTTGGATACAGACGAATGTATAAAAGGTTTGTACAAAATCTTGGCCTCCGAGCACAAGTTAGTTGACGTAAGTTTGTTGGGTTAGTTGCAGTAAATAATACACTGAAACTTGAAGGGAAAATGCCAATACCTTGAATAGCTTTTAATTTTTCTCCATTGGTTGATTTAACAAATGATTGGATCAAAAGTGGAATAATTCTCAGTTGAAAGAATTCACAGGCATAATTTCTAGAAACTTTGGTTAGTTGTCTGCAGAAAGCCTTATCTACCTCATCCTCCTGGTCAGGTGGTCTGTAGCGGACACCCACCACAATGGTCACCCTTGTTGCTCTCCCCTCTAACCTTAACCCAGAAACTTTCAACAGGCCTATCTCCAGTTTCACACTGGAGATCTGAGCAACTGTACATCTCTTTTACATACAGTACAATTCTTCTTCCTCTCCTCCCCTGGCTGTCCTTCCTGAACACTTTGTTCCTGTCCATGTCAGTGCTCTAGTCATGAGAACTATCCCAACAAGTCTTTGTTATTCCAACTACGTCATAGTTCCTTCACTGTGTAAGGACTTCCAATTCTTCCTGCTTGTTTCCCAGGCTCCCTGTGTTTGTGTGCAGACACCAGAAGAACAAAAAGAAATGTCAAAGGAAAAATTAGTAGGTCAAAAATGCATAAGTATGTAGATGCATACATACAAATACAAAGAGTACAGGGAGGAAGCAGGGTAAACTGGAAGTCATAGTCTGCAAAAATAAACCTATGACTTAACTGATATTACAAAAACTTGGGACAACTCCCATGACTGAAATAACATTTAAAGTTCAAAGTTATGCGCTGTTTTAGAGGGATAGGTTTGGGGGTAGGGTGGAGGAAGTATTGCGTCATATGACAAAAATATGGTTCCTAGTTCCATGGGGAAGACTACAACAAATCAGCATAGAGGGAGAGAATAGTGGTGATATTATGGTGCAAGCCTGTTATAGTCCACCAGGTCAGGAAGACGTGGACAAGGCACTCCAAGGAGATGACAAGATCATCTAAAAAGTATGAGATGGTATTAATGAGGCGTTTTAACTTTCCAAATTGTGACAAACTGCACTTGTAAGACATGACACATCCAGAATGATGGTGACACTATTTCTTCTGTATAATTGCCCTACTCTAATTTAAGGAGTAGGAGTCTGCCTGCATTATCTCCCTCTTCCAATTGAATCTTGTTCTGTGAATGATGTAAAAAAAACCCCAAGTACTAGCTACCCAGTTCAGAGCAGTTAGACTGAATTGACAGTGCATATAAAGGGCATTGGAGCGCAGACTGACTGAAATCATTCTAGATTTCTGCAAACCTGGTGACAGCTAAATTATGAGGTTGAGGTTACGAAATTAAGACATTGTCAGAAAAATGTCAGAATGGTTTTTTGAGTCTTTTTGTGCCACTGCAACTCAGCTGTTTTATGCAGATGTATTATCATGTGGCCTTTGAGTATCACATTCCATCTTTTCCAGGAGACCCCTGTTTCACTTGGTAACAGAATGGATAGTGTTCAGTGCGAGGCAGCTGTTCAATATTTTTGTTTTCATTCAGTTCTTACCCTGGTTTTCCCAAGTGCCAGTTTTCCAAAGCGTACATTTAAATGCATTAATTTCTCAGAGGCCTTTTCTGGGATATTAATCACCATGGTACTTCAGTACCTCACAGACCGTTTGTTACATATCTTTACTGCTGGGAGATGTGAACTATGAAGGTAGTTGACCACTGGATGCTCTTCTGGAGGATGCTATAATCCAAATAAGAGCCATTTTGAGGAGCTCCTCTAGCCTGTATTTTGCAGGTCAGACTATGTGATCACAGAGATTCCTTCTGGTCTCATCTGAAGACAAATGCACTGAGAGTTCTAGTGTGGGAGACTAATTTTGTTCTTTTGTAACTAAGTCCTGTGTAACTAAGTCATAATATGCCATCTATATCCATCCTTACAATGAGCATTAGAGCACTTCTTCTCTCTAACAGTTGTGAGGATCACCATATTGCACTATATGAAAGGGAATAGGGGAGTGTACTGTGATAGCTGAAGATGAGCCTTGTTTTCCTGTGTGTCAAGGCTGTCTTAACTATCAGAATTTAGGTGAGGGTCCTATACTATAGTCACCAGCCTCATGTGCCTCTGTTTCCAGGAGGAGTGTGAAGGGTCAGACCAGGAAGGGTTACAACAAAGCCAGGCACTCCTGCCTACTTTAGGCTTATCTGGCTATGTACAAGGCAGGTGAGGCAGTTCCACTACTGTGACAGCACCTGTGTTGTGTCATCCCTGAAAGGGTCTTGGGGCACCCCAGTTGAGAACCACTGCTTTAAGAGAAGCTGATTCCCCTATGTAGTGCAGTATGAAAGCTGTCACTGATGATTGCTGGTGAGTCATGAGAAAAGCCATAATTGATAGTACTTCTTACCAGCTGTTTGTTGCAGTGAGCAAGAACTTGTTACAGTAGTAGTTTCACCATTCCTATAATATGACAAACAGAAGGATTTTTTTCCTTTTCTCCCATGATGCAGATGATTGCTGTGCTTGTTGACAAGATGATCCGAACACAGATTGTCGACTGTGCTGCAGTAGCAAACTGGATCTTCTCTTCAGAGCTTGCTCATGATTTTACTAGGTAATAAAGTAAAATACTTTCTTTTGAAATTTCATTGCAATTGTTTTTTCTGGAAGTAGCTTATTTTAAAAAAATAAGATAAAAGTAGGCAACCGTTGATCCTCTGGATCACAGTGTACACATAAGAGGGCTAGTCATGTGCCTGATGAATCTACTTGTACCAAGTCTTGCAACCGTTGCACCAAGTCCTTCTATGCATATGTCTGGGCAAAATATGGGAAGTGGAGGCTGCTCAGGACCTACAGTCCCCACTTTAGACCATTGAGACAGAATCCAAAGGCCAGACTGAGTCGAGATGTTCAGCGTCTCAATGGTTATAGCTTGTTCCAGAGAGCAACAGAGAAGAACTGCTGCTGACTGCCTAACACCTCAGTGAGGGCATGTTTCTGTCAGGGTGATGTCCTGTAGCCTTTCTCTAACCAAAGAGTTACCCACAAGGCATTGGGGGGGCTAAGGTTTTGAAGCATGCTACTCTCACCTTACTCTGGAGGTTGCAACATTGTAGTATTTTATAGGAGCTACCCTGCCACAAGTAGCCCTACCACATTGCCACCAGGCCTTCCAGTCAGATGTAATTTATGGTCATACTCGGGACTATTTAATGCAGTTTATGGTGGTACCCAGAACCATTTAATGTACTAAAGCATGGTGAACCAAGTGGAAAGAGCTGTCATGCTCTGTATGCAGCCTGCCTGTTGTCTGTGCTTGCGGGGGGGGGAAGACCCTGAACTGTATTCCGTGACTGGGAATTCATAGCCTGGCTTTTTTCAGTGAATTCCAAATGGGTTGTATTTCTGTGTTTTAAGCAAAAGTAATAAGAATCAGTCATGATTTAATTATAAAAAAATATGTATTATAGTTTTCTTTTTATATAAGGTTATCCTGTCCCAAAATTCAGTAGCCACAAATGGGTGTGTGGGTATCAGACAAGACAGGTAGGACTCCTAGGTCCAAAACTTCTGTGGGCAGTATTGCATTTTGCTGCCTCACCCCCATCCTCCAAAAAGATGCTTAACGTTCTCCAACTGAAGCTATATTAGGTTGATAGAAAGGGGAAGGATCCATCTAGTGTGGCTTTCAGAAAGCTAGAAGTACAGCTTTGTGGAAAGAAAATCTCTGTAGACATAATGAAAGCTGTACAGCTGTTTGTATAGTTCCTAGTACAATTGGATTTGGACCCATGACCAGAGCTATAGATGCTGCTACAATACAAGCAGTGATTTTTAAGTTGAGGAGTGGTAGGGAAATGGCTGATGCACATCAATATGAAGTTTGCAGCACAGGTGGTCCACATTTAACTTTCTGGTAATGGCAGATACCATTCTCATTACTGTTTTTTGAAGTTCTACTTAACCTTTAATAAGGGAAATATTTGCAAGCTAATGATATTTATTTACTTTTTTCAAGACCTTTTCATCAGTTCTTGGGCAGAAGTCCTTCAAATTGTTTAAAAGAAAAAAGCTTAAAACATTGCAACGTAATGGCATAATGAAGAAGCTCTGGTACCTTGACAGCTCAGCCTAATTTGCCTGAAATAAAACCTAAACCAAGGGTGGTGTAGGTACACATGCCTTGTTGGATGTAGCTTATGCATTCCAGAATGATTCCAATAGATCAAAGTATAGGAAAGTTTTGAGTTTGTATGGCTTCCTGTTACAGACACAGACCTGTAATCAATCTAAATATTGAGTATTCTTTTTTCAATTAATGCCTGCACTCCAGTGCATAATTAAATCAACTTGGGTTATAGCTGGAAAGCTTTTTAAATTCTTACATCTATGGAATCAGTCCACTTATTAAAATAAGTCCTTATAACATTGGGAACTTGAATAGTTGCTGGCTGTCAGTCTAAGAAAGAAAACTGAGAGTTTTTTGGTGTGATTTTTTTTTTCTCTGCCTTTGTATAGTTTGCAGTTTGTTGGGTATTCAGATTTTACCATGTGGTTATAATTGCTTTTTTTGTCAGGTTCTATATCTGGGAAATCTTACACTCTACAATTCGTAAGATGAACAAGCATGTTCTCAAGATCCAAAAGGAACTAGAGGAGACCAAAGCAAGATTAGCCAGACAACACAAACGAGTATGTAACGTATATGTTTTATAAATGTGCTATTTGCATATCAAGTATTTACATAGTTCAAATTATAGCATACTTTACTGGGGTGACATGTACATAACCTGATATAAGACCTGCTCTGTGAGGCCCAGAATAAAGATGCTGTCAGGAAACATGTCATTTTTTACAGAAAACTGCCCATCTTTAACAATTTAACCATGAATCTGACCTCAATTCTGAGAGAGATTATGGAGCAGGTGATCAAGGGGCACCTATACGCATGGCAGACATCTGCTTTGCCATTAATCAAGTCTTCTGGAGCTTGCTAATTAACACACTTCAGCAGTCTCTGTGTCACATCTGTTCAGTGTCCCCATGTTTCAAAATGACTGCGGGGTGCTTTAACTTAAAGCACTAACTGCCATTTTAAAGCGTGCGGCGCTGAATACGTGATGCTGGGGGCACTGTAATTGGAGTGGCTTTCAGCCTCTCTAATTTAAAACACACACCCCTCCACCCTGGAGCACATGTATAGACATCCAATGTGCATTTATACACATACCTTTTCGTGCAAAGGTGTGCCAGAGATCTGATGCATTGCAGCAGACACGATTAATCTGCACACAAGTTGACCCACACTGAGTGCATCGCATGCAGTTGTACAAGCAGCAAAATGCACTTCAGTGCACAGACAATGGTGGCGGTGCGCTTTTGAACTAAAACACCTTTGATATATTTTAGTTCAAAAGTGCACTGCTGCCATTTTCTCAGCGCTGAGACACGTTTCATTGTTTATACAAATGCATGTGGCCAGCGCTGCAGTGGAATCAAATGCCCAAGGAGTCTATTTGTGAATGAAAACAAAGTGAAATAAATGTGTCAATTTGAGAATGAGTTATGTCTAACCAACTTAATTGTCTTCTGTGACAAAATAACAGGCTCTGTGGGTGGGAAGAGAATAGTGGATGTGATGTACCTTGACTTTGATGCTGTCTCCAATGGCCTTAATAAGCTAAGGAAATGCAGACTATATGAAAGTACCGTAAGGTAGATATACATCTGATAGTATTCAACAATTAATCATTAGTGAGATGATAGCAGGGTGGATTTGATTTAAATTGAGCCAAGGTGAGGGCATGGTCAGCTAGTAACCATGCCACTGTGTGGAATACCTAAACTAAGTCTTGTTGGTTTTGGCATTTGTGGGACTCTAAAGATTTCACTATTGCCTGCTGAGTTCCAGCAACACCCATGATACTTATTTATGCCCTTCACTTGCATTCATCAGCAATTGACGGATGCAGGTTAGTGCCAAAATCTTCATGTGTCCCTGTAACTCAGGGACAGGCAATTATTTGGGCCCGTAGGCCACATAGGCAGTTCTGAGGACCTACTGGGGACTGATCAGTATTCTTCCCCTCCGTCCCCCGGTGCAACAGCCAGGAGCCCATGTACCCTGCAACTTCTCCCTGCACACAGCCCCAGCCCTTCCTGCACCTGCTCTGGATTCACCCCAGCCAGAGCAAGCCTGCCCTGTGCCCACTCTGGACTGCCTGTCCACACTGAGCAGCAGCCAAGCAGAAGCTGCTGATCAGAGCAGGGGAAAAGCAGCCCTTCTCTGTCACTGCAGCTGGGCCCTTCTTGCTGCAGCTGCCTGGAGTCTGTGCCCAGGCTGACCTGCAGCTCCTCTCCACCACCATCACTGCCACCTCTGGGTCATCCAGTGTGGCAGCAGTGGCACTGGGGAGAAGATGCAGGGAAGCCCAAGCTGCAGCAAGAAGGACCCAGCAGTGGCAAGGAGGGAGGGGCCTTCCCTCCCCC